ACAAAATACTTCTTGGTAATCATCAACCTGCTTGCATTTAAAAGTGAATTATGGAACATTTTTAAAATCAATTTTCACATTATCAGACAGTATATCTCGTACCTAGGGCCGAAAATGAGGTTTTGCTGGCTCGAGATAGTTTATAAGGTCGAGACGAAGTCGAGAACTTAAACGATCGAGAGCTGCAAAACCATTTTGGTCCGTGGTACAAACCCTATTTTTCACCACACTATACCCTATTACCCACAATACTATTCAACACAATAATAATGTACCTACACTAACTATGTGAAGAAATAATTTGAGGAATCAGCAAAAATAATAATAAACAGTTGCTAGGCAGCGGTGACAAAAAAACAAGTCTATTGCAATGCTATGGATACAGTTTGTGTATTTAATATACATTATTGTTTAAAGTAAATAAGCGAACATTTGATTTTACGGCCCTAGGGATGTAAAAACCTGCTCGGTCCCCAAAATGATGATGACAGCTAGCATGGCCAGCAAAACGTAACTTTCAGCCATCAATTAACGTATGTATAACAGTTAAAAACATTATAGTGTGGTGCAATAGTTATTTGTGTAACTAGTGAGCAAAGTGACACTTTGCTGCACACTAGAGCAATGTTTACAAACACTGTCAAACACTATACAAAACGTTTTTAGGTTCAGCTGGCAACACAAATAGGTGCCCTAGAGAAAGTAGTCACCGGTCCGTATCACTCCGCTATTTTTTCCACGGCAAGCAATGTGCTCCGCGACTTGAGAAAATAGTTCCGTATTTTTTTTTTTATTTGAAGTGGTTTCCATGCTTTAAAAAATGCTTTAAAGGTATTTTCTTGGTTATTAAGATTGTATGAATGTTTTAAAAACGTTTAAAAGAAAAGTCCAGAAAGTTCAGAAACACCGAAACTATAAACACGAAATGACAGATTAAATCGTAGTTATAATAGTCAATCAGCTGCTCATAGTATTATTATCTTTAAGTGTTGCCAACCTATTTCCAAGCGTACACGGATTACGTGCATAATAGAACCACGCTGTTTTGTATTGTTTATTGTTTTGTTGGAATCCTGATGTGCGCCATGTGCAAAGTATAAACCGCACGACAAAGTATAAACCGTACGACAGAGCATAAATATGCAGCAATTAGCAGCTTTCTGTACTATAAACAGTACAAGGAGGCCAACTTTGTCGGGTGACTGTAGGAAAAAGCCTTTTCCATCACTAACCATTCCAACATAACAAAATCACCTGATCCTTTTCAAAACTGGGGTGATAATGATGTGACAAAAGAATGTTAAAGTTATGAATGACCAAAACCTAATTTAACTACAACTCGGCTATAACATTAATATAGCAATGGGAAGTCTATCCAAAGACGAAAAATATATGAAACTATGTTAGAATTACCTAACCTGTCCAAATGTATGCAATAATAAAAAAAGTTCTCTAGTCTCTTTACTGAATTTTTACTGAAAAGTTCTAATTTTTGCAATTTTCCTCTATTGGTTTTTTAAGTTGGTTGTTAGAAAAGAAACAAAGAAAGCCCTATAAGTGACACGCATGTCTAATAGAACCCATCACATCGCAATGTAATTGCAAATAACATTGTGAACTTATGTTTAAAAGAGGCTGATTCCTCAACATAGTGATTGCCTTGTCTTCCTAGTAGTCAGAAGGTAGCTGGTTTTATCCTGATAAAAGTCTGTAGCTTTTTGACGGTTTAAAACTGGACCTCCGTTCTGTCACTGGATCGTAGGGCTTTTAATACATCCTTCTCGTAATGTAAGGAAACAGCTGGCCTTACTCAGTCATAAAGCTACAAGCAATAAAAATCATCTCTCTCCATTCTACAGTCTTCTGTCAGTCATATTCAGATTAAAATATGCAGCTTTGTGTCCTGCCTCAATTATTGGATTTCAGGGGTTATTGAACCCACTAGACATTACACTACCAAACCAATTCAAAGATAATAGCAATTTAGAAAAAGATTTACTGTACACCAGAAGTGAATTAGAAATGCTGGAGAACATGTTTCTCTTCTGAAATGTCAGAATTACATTATACATTTTTACTTTCTCCCCCTATACCATAGTATATGGAGAAAGTATTGTTTTCGTCAAAATTTTCGAGTTTGAGTTTTGAGTGGATATTTTCGTTTTGGGTCCCCCTGGACCCAAAAAAGTGGTTTTCGAAGTGATGTCTGTGTGTGTGTGTGTGTGTGTGTCTGTGTGTGTGTGTGTCTGTGTGTCTGTGTGTCTGGATGTGTACAGAGCTAGAGACTACACCTGTGGTCCGATTTCGATTAAATTTGGTATGTAGGTTCTAATCCATGGTATCTCCAGGCGTTTTTTTCATTTTTTTGAAATTTTGATTTTTAATGGGGTTTTTCCCATAAAAACCCATAAAAAAACCGGAAAAATCAAATTTTCTCAAAAATGGACCGAACGATTTTGATAAAAATTTAGCATGTTGTAGCCCTTTAAATTCTTAACAAAATGGTACAAATCCCATTTCTGTAAAAATTACGGTTCAAAAGTTATGGTAAATTATGTTATTTTCCCATAAAAAAAAACCCATTAAATAACGAAAAATAGGATTTCAGAAAAAATCCGGTTTTGATTTAACATAGTATGTTACGGTCCTTACAATTTTGAGAGTTTTTTTCATTTTTTAGACATTTTTATTTTTAATGGGGATTTTCCCATAAAACCCCATAAAATAACGGAAAATTCGGATTTTTCCAAAAATGGCCCGAACGACTTTGATAAAAATGTAGTATGTTAGAGCCCTTTATATTCTGAACAAAACGGCACAAATCCCATTCCTGTAAAAATTACGGTTCAAAAGTTATTGTAAATTATGTTATTTTCCCCATAAAATAACGGAAAATCGGATTTTCTAAAAAATTGGCATAACCGATTTGATAAAAATGTAGTATGTTATAGTCCTTAAATTCTGAACAAAATTGTACAAATCCCATTTCCGGATATGAGGTTGTTGACAAACTTATGGGAGAAAGTATGTGTCAGAATGCTGATACCGTTTATTAGCTCTTAGGATCCAGCTGAATTTAGCAAGCACTGGAAAACTTCATAGCAATGGGACGGGTTCTACTATGAATATATGTCACAGCGGCTATTTGTACAAACACTTATTTTGGACATTAAATTACTTATAAGACTTTAATAGTTTTTTAACAACCAACAGTAAAAAGAATTCAGCCTATTTCCACATTAGAATTAATCTTCACAAAATTATAAAAATGTATGTATGTGTTTTGTGTGTATTTATTTTTGAGTGTGTTTTCTGGGAAGTATTTGTGTTCTATATTGAAAATTGCACAAAAGTTGGCTATACATACCAATTAAATGTTTTTAACTATTATAATCCTAGCAATTATACCTAATCCGTCACAAAATTTAGGCATTTTAGGCAGAAAAAATCTATACCCTCCACTTGATCTTACCTCATCAATAGGTAGGACAATAGCTCAAAAGCTGGGGTTTGCTAAAACGCCAATCAGCTGCAACATACACATTAGGCAAAAAAATTACTAGGGAACTTACCCTCAAACTGCCTTAATTTTGTGAACGGACTATAGTCATGTATAATTACTGTTACTATATTCCTTTTATAACTTTGTGTATTTTATTTGCTGTGAAGTCTTTGAAAGACTAATAGTTGTAAGGTAAGACAGGATAAACCACAATATTTTTAACTAAAATGGGATTTCGTTATTTGGTTATGTGTTATGAGTATTTTTAAATTGAATGATTGTGTTTTGTAAATAAATCAATAGTTATTGTAATGGGGAAGGTAATAATTTATTCCCTGTCATGATATTGAAAAGGAGAGGCCTCTTGCACAAATTGTGCTGATTAATAGGGTCCAAAATCTGTTTTGGAGGCAAAATGAATCCAGAGAAATAGCCTACACATTTACCTTTTCAAGATTATGTTTGTTTTGTTTATTGAGAAAACATGACTACTAATTAATTTTTCTTTAAACAACTTTTTTTTTTATCTACACAGTATAAAGAGGGATTTACGTACCTCAATCAGGTACAGTTGTAAAAAATAGCCTATTTCGAATACATTTTCATAAACTTTGTTTACAATCTGACTGTGGTTAAACATGAACGCGTTGCAGAAAGTCAACAGTGCCGGAAGGTCAAATAAATTATACTTGTGCCGATAGGTCAAAAACTACAATGTTTGCAGTGTCTGTAGATCAAAAATCCCAGTAAGTCAAATAATACAGACCGTGCTAAAAACATAGTATATGTTAGAGCGATTGACACATTGGGAATTTGACCTAATGCAACAGCAGTTTTAATATAACGAAATACGATAAAATATAAGTTCAGTTTCGCTCATGGGGAGCACATTTCGTTTACGTATAAGCTGAGTTTGATTATAGATAAATATATGCCGATGCTTGATGGCAAATCTGTATGATCTGTTGATGGCGAAACACGGACTGTATTATTTGACTCAATGGGATTTTTGACCTAGAGACACTGCAAACATTGTAGTTTTTGACCTATCGGCACAAGTATAAATTATTTGACCTTCCGCCACTGTTGACTTTCTGCAACATTCCCGCAACAAACACCTTTATGTGCTTAAAATCAAAATCCCAAAAAAACCTAATGCAAAGAGTTTTAAATCTTGTTTAGCTAAAGGGAAACTTTAATTTAAATTTAACAAAGCTAGTATCTTAGAGCAAATAAATACAACCAGCTATGTGTTCTAATTTAAGGATAAAGGTGTCCGTTGAAGACGAAGATAAAAGCAGTTCTTTATCATGAAAGTCCAGAAAGGCATGTGCTATCGAAGGTGTTGAAATTAAATTAAATGAAAAATTATTGACTTAGTTTTTGAAAAGTAAGATTATTCTAGAATAAGATTCACTCACTGTATTCTAGAAAAAAAGCATTTATACATTTTAATATTGATTCTAACAATCACACAAAGCATTAAAAGTTCTTCTGCAGCACTTTGACAAACAATTTTATTTCTACATATAACTCATGTTACTGATTACAACCATATAAAACAAAATTATCACCTTACAATCCATGCAAATGTGGCTAAGGAATTTGAATATTTAATACGACAGAAGATTGGTTTGTTGCATTTTGGTTCCCAGCAGGCTGGGGTCTGCGACAAAGATTCCCAGCTGCGAAGGCCAAAACTCCTGCAAAAATCATTATTTTTTTTGTGGAAATGCTGACACAAAACTGGTATTTTATTTACACTTACTCTGCTGACTAAAAATAAACTCGTTAAATTCTTCCCATCCAAGTAACTAATTAATAAGCAGTATTAACACCCGAAAACTTAATTCCAAAAGTAGTTGAGCTCTCATTTCCTTATTTTCTATATCAAATAGGTTTAATCAACATTTAAAACTTTACTGGAAAACATGGATGAACCTATATAGCATATGCAGAATCGAGCAAAAGTATTAGCACAAAATAGCTTTGCATTAAAAGAGTAAATCGGGTTGGTTGCTGGAGGGATTATAATGAGAAAAATATTTACTTACCAAAAAGAAGCAAAAGACATACAGTTGTACATATCAAATCTGAGGCCAATAAACTTGTATTATTGTTGTGGTCATCATCTGAAAATGAAATAAATTGTTTTGTGATAACAACGACAACATAAACCTACATGAGCCTAGGTTTTTAGGATTTTTAGTGAGGATAGCAGGCTTACGGTACCTCTGAATGAAAAAGAGTTCAAACTGGTAGGAAACACACAACTTTACATTATACACAGAGCATTCAAATATTTCACCCTCTCGAACAGCATTTTCATCTAAGGAAGGTATGATTTAAAGAGAGTTTTTCAGGTCTGTGAAATATTAAAACTACGCTGTTGCTTTGTGTCAAGTTTGGTCTTTCTTATGCCTATTTGGACTTTTTCTCATTCAGGTGTGTTTGTTATAGTAGTTTAAATAGTAAGTTTTAATAATTAATTTAAACCTACGTTGTAATATTAAAACACCCTAAAGGCCATGTGACACCGACATATGCCGCTCCCACCGCCGGAGTACCGGGCGCAGATGTTTTTCCTCGAGCCATGTCACACCAAAGTTTGCGTCCGCAGCGGGAGTTTTGGGATTATTTCATTACAATTTATTTTACATAAGAAACACATCTTACCTGTTTGGTATGACATGTAAGTTTTCTGGTTTTTAAAGTAGTAAAGTGTTTAAGAAGCATTGAATGGGTTTATTTATTTGTTAGCGTACATAAAAAGTGATCTGTAATTATTAAAAAAATTTAATTTGGACCTTATGTTGGAAGTTCAACCATTTTAAATATGGATAAGGATAGGTAAATTATCCACTTTCAGGGTTTTGAGCGTTATTTTTTGCTACACTACAAAGACTAGGCCTATTTACTTTTGAAATAAAAACATACGACTATTTTAAAACTAATGTAATATTTTTGCTAAACCTTATATTAAAAGTTCAAGTTTGCATTGATTGTACAATTTTGGTTGTTGCAAGTTGAAACAGTTGATGAAACAATACAAAATTGTTTGTTAACGTCGACAATATAAAACATTTGATAGGAAACAATAATTTTTTACTGAAAACATTATTTTTGCATAGTAAAAAAAAGTTATTTTTTCTGGTGATTAACGTATACTACGAAAATATACAAAACAACATACATCATCAAACAAAAGAAACATGTTAAATTTACTTTCAAACTGTATTAATCTGTATTATTTTTAAACTTTATAGCTTGGCCATTCGAGATGCCCCTTTGCGCATGCGCCAGACAAAAATCCCGCCGCGGTAGTCAAACAAAATCGCTGAGCACGCCTGCGGGGGCGTGGTAGTGCTGTGTGACTTGGCACATTTGATAACATGGTTAGCGATTTTTCAAAATACGCTCCCGCCGCGGGAGCGAGCTCGGTGTGACTTGGCCTTAAACAGTCTTGAGGTGTTCATTATTTTTCATTAACATTTTCAAAACGAGAAGCCACCTAGCAAGGAAGACTAATTTTGGGATATTTGTCAAGAGGGGGTCATCAATCTGGGGAGCTAAGCTATAAGGCTATAACATTAGATTAAGCAATAATACTTGATCTAATGTAAAAGAATACACACACCAGAATGCATATTTTAAGGCAAAGATATAAAATGGCTGGACTAAGATCAGCTGTATTTAGGCCAGGACCATTGAAGCCAAATTTTAGATTCAGAGGTCCCACTTATAGATTGCAGGGTGTTCATCAAATGCCTAGAACAGCCTTTGACATCAACCAATAGTGATGTGTAAAACCACAAACTTCAACCAAGTTCCTTTAGGACTTTTAAAGGAAGTTTTACTCATGTTGTAGCTTTAAATTTGTACTACATCTATTAATTTATTACGAGTGAATAGGCCTACCTCTAAAAATGTTTGAGCTATATTTTCCACCTGTAAAGTGAGAACTGTTTGAGTTACTTTTGTTAATGTTGTTTTCAACGCTTGAAGTATTTGTATCAGCATTTTTTAAGCTCTGATGTATGGTTAGCATTCAGATTTTCATTATTTATAATTAAATAACTTACGTCATCAATCCATAAGGATTGATCATTTATGGATTGATGACGTAAGTTATTTAATTATTTGATAACTCAATCCGTTGTGCTACAATCTCAACATTATTCATTATTTATCTTCAACATGCTCTCCAGGATCAGCAGCATCTCTCTTACTCAGGTTGTGTGAAGGTGACAAGTCATAATCAAAATGTGGTGATTCAGTTACTTGTTGCAGATCTTCCACAGCAAATAGAGCTGACATGATATGTTCTATCAGATTTGAAATCGCTCTTAGGAAGAAATATCTGGTCATCTCACTCTACAAACCGCGGATCGATCACATCTTCAAACTTTGGTGTAGTGAACTGCTTGACTGACGTTTCAACTGAGGTGTTTTCATCTGCTTTGAATTGTATTTCACCAATGGGATGATGGGGTGCAAAATTAATTGTGTGGTTTTCGTGAGGAAGTTTGGTAAAGTTTGAGGATGAATCAAATTTCCCCTCAACATTGTTTGCTTTCTCACTAGTTGGAGATATAGTCAACGATGATTTATTCTTGGAAAAGTTATAACCAACATCTGTTTCAACCTTGTCAAAAAGGTATACTCTTGATTTTTCAAGTTGAAACGCCAACACATCGTGGTGGATGAACAAGACAAACAGATTCAACCCTGAAATTGAAAGAACATAGGTAGTACAAAGTAATACGATTAGCTTGAAAATATTGGCCAATTCAATTTGTTCAAGTACAGATGATCAAAGACAAACTTTATGTTTAGTAATAGTGTTATATAGTCAATGGTAATAGCATTGACTACCATAAACTACAAACTACCATAAAAAATATGACAGTTGGATTTTTTAGCTAGAAGCGGTTGAGGTATGGTGTAATATCTTTGCATTGCAGATGAACCTTTTTGGCTGTAGGCTGTAGTGAGTGCGATCCATCGATGTATGCAACCTAACATCGGTGGTGTTAGGTTATATCTTTGTTATATACATCGAAGGTGTGATCATTTGTTCAATGTTCACATGTCAATTTTTGAGGTCAAATCAATAAAAACAAACTGGCATGTCGTCAATCAGGGACAATGTTGTATTACTTACGAAAGAAATTTCATTTAAGATCAAATGAATTAATTTAGTATGTGTCATTGTCTGATTTATTAGAATTAGAAAACATTCAGTTAGGCTACTGCATTTTATAAACCACACTTGAATCTTGCTTCCTTGGCCTATCGTACAACGTTTTCCGAATCGTAAATCATCATTATGTCCCAACAGTTTATTATGTGTATCCCAGTCAAAGCAACTACATTATTCTATTAATATAATGATCAACATTAATTTTGCAAGAAGATTCAATATTTTAATATCTGCTCATAATAAATTAATTACTGTATTTTCAAAGCAACCATCACTTAATTTGGAGGAAATTTAAATAACAATTTGTTCATTAGTTGATTTGGAATTAGGAATCATGTCTCTATTTCACAGTAAATATTCTCTAATGATTAGCTAATGACAAAGTGATTCATCAAATTCCAAGAATATATTATGCCAGTTTGTTTGTTTTGATTTAACCTCGCATTAAAAAGGTTCATCTTCAAAGATATTCCAAAACAGCTTAACCACTTCTAGCTAAAAAATCCAATTGCACTGTACAGACTTCTCAATTTTTCACCCCACACTGTAAATAAAACATGTGATTGGAATTTGTTTTGATTTTCTGTTTATATTTGGTTGTTATTTCGTCACCAGCATAGCAACCCATAAAGCCCATGTTAATTTTTTGTTAATTTCAAATTCATTTTTTGTGCTTATCTTTGAGCCTATTTTAATTTATAAAGGGATTCTGCACACCTACAGGAAAATAGCTTTCTAACAATATGCGTAGATTTTCCCTACGATGTACACGAGCTGAGAAAAAAGGTTTTAAAGAAACATGCTTGCCTATTAATATATAGATAGAAGATAGATTCTAACAATCACACAAAGCATTAAAAGTTCTTCTGCACAAGAAATTTTATTGTTACAACTAATTTTTACTTGCTGATTAGCCTTATCTTAGTATTGGTGAACTCTCAATAGAGTACTAGAGGTATTGCCTTATGGTATTCGTCCCAGGAGTATTCCCAGGAGGAGTTTCTTGCTGCAGCCCTCTGCAATGATTGCCCAAGGCTAATCCTGCAAAAATCATTATTTTTTTGTAGAAATGCTGACACAAAACTGGTATTTTATTTACTAGTTAATACATCCTTACTCTGCTGACTAAAAATAAACTCGTTAAATTCTTCCCATCCAAAGAAATTGTGGTCAAATAGGTTTAATCAACATTTACAACTGTAGGCCTAGGTACTGGAAAACATGGATGAACCTATATAGCAGAAAAATGAAATATGAAAATATATATTTTTTTTTTTAGGTTTACAATTTGTAAAAGCAATTTTCTTTTCTTTTTCTGTTAGTTATAAGGTAGTTAAGTTGCCAAGCCACAACTGACATGTAATTGATGTATGTACAGATTGTCTAAGTCTGGTCTGGTGTAAGAGTGGACCTATGGTCCAAACCAGACCAGGGTAAATAAAAAAATTGTCAAATTGTCTCTCTCCAGAAGCTTTAAATAGTATAATAAATGAGAATACGGAGATGTAAGTAAATTTGTAAGGAAACATGGAAATAGTAAGTCATGACAGTTATTTTTTATTTACTAATTAACACATCTTACATGTTATGTTTAATTATCTTAGATTATTAATGTACATTCACAAAAATAGAGTTGGTTGATATTATTTTAGATGGATCTGAATGATTCACCTATTTTAATCTTAAAGGTTTTGTTGACCAGAGGTAAGATGATTTCTAGCTTACATACATTTGATAGCTAATTTTGTAATTGAAGTAAATATTTAACTTACACAAAATTGTTGATTGCAGGCTTTTATTTTGCACTTTCATATTCCGGTTTAACTTTTTTCACAAAATAGTATGAGCTCTTCTAAACAATATTATTAATGGTGCTGGAAACTTGTGATAAACATATATTTGATGAAAGCAACAATTGAACTTCACAAACCAACTAATCACAATATTGTGTATGTGTGTAACACTAAATCTGGACTATATAAAATGTAACGTGACAAAAAATATATTATGCCTGAAATTGAGATAATAATGCCTATATATTGCCAGTTTCACTCTTAATTGGTGTCAGTTCTCCATAATGGAGATACTGTACCGCACTTGGTTTGTTTTTAATCTTTGGGACAAAAATATTTAAACAAAATAATTCCGTTTCCAATTCAATAGGATAAAAAAACCTACTAAAATAGTCATAAGCACTTCTCCTTTGATCTAGTAGGAGTAGATATTTTCGATCTTGCATGTTAAAGTTGGAAAAAATTGATTTGATGAATTAAAGCCTCCACAGCAGAGTGAGATAACTGATATTTCTGTTGAATTAGAATACTCAATATCTTTAACCAAGCCAAACTGAGGAGAAATAATTAGGCTACTATTTTGTATACTGTAATATGGCATCTTTAATCTCTTACAAAGACTATCACAACAACAAAAACTAATGGAGAAATCTTTTAGATTTTAGCACATTTCTGCATTTAAGTGGCACATTATTGAACTATATAATTTGTTTTTTGTTGGATAAAAATGGACTTACTTACGGTACAATAAAGTAGGTCCATTAAAGAAGGGATGACTTAACTCAGTATCCAAAAGTCAAAGTCAACACTTTCATGCAAACTACTTTCACAAAATCCGGATAAATAAAATAAAATAATAAAACAATAAAACCGGAGTCTATAAATTGTCTTGCAACGACTGCCCAAGCTTCTACATAGGCCAGACGTCACGATTATTTACCACCCGATTCAAAGAACACCTGCCTAGTCGGCATTTTCCAACCATTTGATTCTTGGGGCTCTGCCCCAGAGGCGTTTAAAGTTCACTCAGCAGTATTTTTACATTACGACCATATGGATAATTTTACTCTAATTTTAATGAACCAGCTGTTAATATTAAAATTGTATTCAAAGGTCTACTGAAACTGTCAAAATTAATTAAATGTTTACACATTATTATTTATGATTTTAAATTGATTCTCCACTGCATGGCAAGTTTTTTATAGTTTCAACAAAATGAGAATTCAAGAAAGATGACCAGAAATTCATTTATTGGTATAAAAGTTCTCGATAATCGGGTTGAAATTTGTGTCATAGATGAGGAGAATGAGAGCTGTGTTGAAGTTTTGGAATAGACTAACTACGGAGTATGTTTCATCTATGGTTTGGTGAAGTAGGTAAATTAATGTCAATTCATGTATTTAAAAAAATGTGTACAGGGTTTTTACTTTGTACACATCTAGTTAGGTCAAACAACGCATCTAAACCTCACTATTTACGTATACAAAACATTCGGAAACACAACAGTGCCATCACATCTCATCGCATTTGCATAATTTGTTACCAAGTCTGGAACCCATGAAATACATGCACAGCTTTATTTGATCGATATGGCCATTGCAAAACTACCCCATAAGTTAAGTTAATCAATTATTTTAGTAATATTGACTTTTTCCATCAGATGACAGACCAATTATATGAACTCCTTTTCCCATATAGTGAAAGAGGCCTTAACATGAACAAGAAACAAACCTCCTAAAAACGTATGACTCCTGAAAAGCCTTTTGGGCAACCTAAAGCCGACGAAAGGACAGAAAATATTGAATTCATCAACCACGTTTTTAAGGTACACTATCGTCTTACTCATAATTATGTTTCTCCTCCCTAAGATTTTAATAACTTCACTCTATCCATCACAGTTAGCTGAATTTACCTAAAACCTCAAGATTAGCCGTCGATTTCGACGGGATTCACCTAGTTTGATTGAATATGTAACGTCAAGCGCACCTTAAGAGGAATCCCACCTCATAAACTCACACTAATTGTAGT